TGTTCTGTTTTTTTGATAGTAGCCGTCCTAATGAGTGTGTGATGATACTCCATTATGGTTTTGATTTGCATTTTTCTAATGATTAGTGATGTTGAACATCATCCCATAAGCTTGTTGGCCATTTGTATATCCTCTTTGGAGAAATGTCTGTTCAAGTTCTTTGCCTATTTTTTATTAGGGTTATTTGTTTTTTTTCTTCCCCTTATTCCTTGCTTTTATTTTTAAATTACTAATTCTAGCTATAGTATTGACTTTCCACTAGGAAAGAAACATTTTTGAATTTACACTTTCTTTAACTTTTTTCTTATCATGATTTTTCTTAGTAATTTTTACATTGTAAAAATTTATAACATGATTCTATTCTTTAACTGATAGTTTTTTCTTTAAAGCAATTTCAAAAAAAATTATAATGAGTGCTTATGTTAATGGATGCACTTGAAGATCCAAGTGCTATGATTAGATAGATGCTTAGAGAAGGGAAAGTAATCTTGAGTCAATAAAACTTCCCTTTTTAAAGGTTCCTCTTTTGTTGTTTGGAGTTGGTATGGTTTCTGGGTCAATTTTATCCCATCTGTTTTCATTTTTTTTTTTTAATTTGTATTTTACTTAATCTTTATTGTATTTTTTCCCATTATTTTTTAGTCCCCTTACACCTCCACCCTCCAGCAATCACTACACTGTTGTCCATGTCCATGAGTCTTTTTTCCTTTTTGCTCACTCCTTCCACCCCCGTAACCTCCCGAATCCCACTAATTGTCATCCTACTCTCTATCTATGAGTATGTTAATATTTTGCTTGTTAGTTCAGTTTGTTCATTATGTTTCACGTACGAGTGAAATCATATGGTATTTGTTTTTCTCTGACTGGTGTATTTCACTTAATGTAATGTTCTCCAGGTCTATCCATACTGTTGCAAAGGATAAATTTTTCTTCTTCTTTGAGTCATCTAGAACTTTCTCATCCTTTCTGGTCTGCTGCTTGTGCCTTTTTTTGTTTGAAAGACTTTGATAAGTTGTCATTTCAGTGGACCCTTAGGATAAAGATGTATATTCCCTCTACCATGTTAAACCAGAAGCATCTCTGTGTTGCTCTTATTTTTCATTTATTTTTAATTAGATTTATTTACTTATTTTTAGAGACAGGGGAAGGAAGGGAGAAAGAGAGGGCGAGGAACATCAATGTGTGAAGGAAATATACCTCTGTTGCCTCTCTTTTACACCCAAGCCAGGGGTGGTCCTGCAACCCAGGCATGTGCCCTGACTGGGAATCGAACCAGCGACCTTTTGCTTTGCAAGTCAGCACCTAACCAACTGAGCCACATCAATCAGGGCCTGTGTGTTTGCTTTTAGAAGGTTAGATTATTTTTATCTCTAATGAGGTTTTACTTACATGAATATATATTTTTAAAATTTATTAAACATATAGAGTATGCTATATGCTAGGCACTATTCTAAGGCATTATTAGGCTAGGCACTAGCCTAATAGAATAGGCACTATTTTATTATTATTCCTATTTTATAGACGAGGAAATTGAGCCACAGACAAGTTAAGTATCTCACTTAAGGTTACACAGCTGGTAAAGCATCCTGGCTTTAGCTCTCATGGTCTTTACACTTCGGCTGCCTTTTGCATGCCCTTTCTCCTTTCTGGGATGGTTTTTAGTTTTACATTTCCCATACTTTCTTTAGAGCCCAACATGGGACACCTCCATTCATTTAATCTATACATTAACTGAATGTCTACTCTGCTTCAGGTGTTTAGGACCAGACACTGCTTTAGGTATTGGCAATACAGCAGTGAGCAAAACACAGTACCTGCTCTCAATGGATTTTACATTTAGTTGTGGGAGGATTAAAAATATGTATAATTTATATATGCTGGCAATGTATTTTCTCTGAAGAGTAAAGAAATTAGCTTTAGGTACTAACATAGGCTAATTTAATTTCCAAAGCAAGGATTAAGTTGTTCATTAGGTAGTCTCTTAAAGGTGTGATTGACTGTATCCATTATGGTTTTGTCAAAAAAAAAAAAATCATCTGATAATAGCTACTGTGGAAAGTGGTGTCTCAGATTAGCATGAAGGAGGTTTATTCGGGAGTGCTCTTGGAATCGACAGCTGTGTAAGAGAAGGGAAGGGAAGGGAAGGAAGCAAGCTTAGGTAGAAAAGAATCAACATGCCCTGAAGTCTCAACAGAAACTTCAGCTGACCCTCCAGGAATGAGTTCTGAAGATGAGTTCACACTTCAGAGCTTTCCCGGGTCACATCTGGGACCTTTATACTCCCACATCAAATGAGCCATTGGTCGTGGGCTGTTTCTAGGAAGGGGTTGTGGCCATATACGAGGAGTGAAGTCACTGAAGGAGGCTCGCACCTGGGGGATTGTCTGCTGGTAATGCTCCCAGCAGCAGGTATAATGAATGTTCCATTGCTAATGGGTGGTTCTGGGGGTGAGTAGGGAGGGGGAAGGTTAGATTAAAGTGTCCACTGTGAGAGTCATTAGGAGATTTGGATTTGAATTAATATTCTGTTATTATTTCCTAACTGTGAGACTCTGGTAAATATTCTAGACTTGAAAATGTTTTGCTTTTAAATTGGTAAAATCGCATTAGTATGTCTAGTTTGGTGGTTATTTTGAAGGTCATGTAAGATAAAGTTTGTTTAAACATCTGGAACATACTCAGTATTCTTTAAAAATGTTTATAGGCAATAGAAACACAAACAGTGAAATTTCCTTGTCATAAGTGCACTTTCTAGAAGATGAGTTTTCTCCTAGCGAGTATTTCTTCTACATTTAGTTAAGAAATATTTGAGTCCTAAGTATGTTAATAGTTATGTGAATATATTTAAAAGTCCAAAATTTTTGTCTTCCAGTTGTTTACAGTGTAGTTGAGGATGTGTTATCAGTATATGGTGAGTTAAGTAACAAAAGGTGGAACATAAGGTACATGTTGGACAGGTTTAGAAATATAGGCCATTGGGCTTGTTCGATTGAAGAAAGTTTAATGGAAGTTGATGTTGAAGTGCCTGTTAAGATGTATGCCCCCGCCACCTCCATAAACTGAATCTTAAACTGAGGAAATGACAAGAGTAAAGCTTGGGTCATCAAGGTCTTTTGTGTAAGGACTATGAGTTAAACCAGATAGATGTCTGTAGCAGAGTGTTTATGTTGTGAATGATGGCATAAAGTTGAGACTAGAAATTAGTACCAGATTATCAAGAGTCTTAAATACCACAGGGCATTGGAAATACAGATTTAGGAGACCCCTACATAGAGATAATAGTTAAAACATTAAATGTGAAGTAGATTTCAGAGAGAAAGAGGGAGAGAGAGAGAACAAATAAGTGAATGAATGAATATGAGAGCTGGGATAAAGAATGTCTTGTGCCCTGGCTGGCATAGCTCAGTGGATTGAGCATGGGCTGCGAACCAAAGCATCGCAGGTTTGATTCCCAGTCAGGGCACATGTGTGGGTTGTGGGCCATGACCCCCAGCAACCGCACATTGATGCTTCTCTCTCTCTCTCTCTCTCCCCCTCTCCCTCCCTTCCCTCTCTAAAAATAAATAAAATCTTAAAAAAAAAAGAATGTCTTGTGGTTGAAGACAAAAGGAGACTTAAGTGTTCAGAGTAGTAGAGAGAGAGCCAGAGAAGCATACTGCTATGAGAGATAAGAGGCAGGGCAGAAAACCATGAGCTTAGGAAGAGAGTGATTATTAAGAAAAGGCCATTCAATCTCTATGCTTGGCTCTCTGTTTACCTTCAGTAGCCCCTAAGATTGCAGTTTTAATTTTTTTTGCAGATGACTAAAATTTTAAATTTCTTATTTCCTGCTCCATATTCCAAGTATCTGTTTGTTCACCATTCCTAACACAGTGTCATCTCCTTTGTTTCTTCAAAAATTAACTTAACGAGTAACCATTCTGCACTAGGCACTATATTGGCAACTAGGAATATAATGAGCTTTTACCAAGAGTACATTCTAGCTAGGGCAGGTGACAGACTTTAAACATTCGTGTATCTGTCAGGTGGTAGAAGAGGTAGCCAGGGCCAGTTCACACAGGGACTTGTAGGCTGCTAGGGACTGGATTTTACTCTGCATGAGCTATGAAAGGCATTTGTTGAAGAGTTTAAAACAGAGGAAGGACACGAACCACATTCATTTTTGGAAAACCATTCATTTTTAGAACAAAGTGTGATACAGAGATTGTCATATGTGTTAAATTTGAGTCATCCCATCTGTTTAACTTACGGTACTTTCGGAAGGAAGACTGTGACTGGCTACTGCGTGATTACATCATATGGAGGCTTCTCATGGTTCCTCGGAGGAAACCCCAGGCTTTGCCTCTAAAACAGTTTTAAGTTTTATAAGAGTAGCAGCTAGGTGGACTTACGTACTGTTGCTTACACATTTATGTCCATTCTTATGTTTTGGGGGGTATCTCCCTTAAAATATGAATCATTTGAAAACCAATTTTGACAAATGGGAATTTTTTTGGAAGAAGGTGGACGTGAAGGTGTGAGATCTAAAACTCATGCTAGGGAAGGAATGGCTGACCATCTCATGGGGGCTTAACCTGTGAAAGTTAGGGCTGAGGAAGGACATGACAGATGTTTGTCAAATTATTGAAGGGCCATCTCTTGTTCAAAGTGTAGACTTTTGGAGAGGAGGAGATCTGGCACTAGTAATTGGAATCCTTTTCTGTTAAATGTAAGGCAGAAGCTATTCATCTAGGGAGTGCAATGCCTAATAAAAGAGTGATCTTCTGAAGGTGAACATGAAAGCAAAGGCGAGACTACCATCTGTGAGAGCAGCTAGGTGGAGATTAAATTGAGGCTTCTCACCAATGTAATTTTAGTTGACAGCGTTAGTTTGCTGGGAGCTGTATATGCTGATGCGCACATAAAACAGCTGAAGTCTGTCAAGTTGTCAGGCATCAGCAATGTGTGGAGCGTTACTCATTTTAGTCATTCTCAAACTCAACACTCCCTTTCTTTTTCAGGGATATCATGATAACACATTTTGAACCATCCATCTCCTTTGAGGGCCTTTGCAGTGAGGTTCGAGACATGTGTTCTTTTGACAATGAACAGCTTTTCACCATGAAGTGGATCGATGAGGAAGGTGAGTGGGCTGCAAGAGAGGGCTGCAAGTGTGAGCGTTTGCTTTAAGATACTATTCTGTCATTAATTTTTAAAATATAATAGAAGTCCTAATTTATTTAAGGGGGAGAGGGTATACTAGCAGTTTGATGCCATTCTTATTTTTCTTTATTTAAATTGAAAGAAACCAAAGGATACCATGTTTGTTTTGCCCTTTTTACCCTAAAATATAGTGAAATTAGTGTGACCTTTTTTCCAGCAATAAGGTAAACTTGTCATCAAATATTATTACATTTTACTTTAATTTTCAATGTGTTGTCTTATATTTTAACAGACCTTCAATAATTTGACAGTATTTTTTTTACTGAATATTACGTTAAAGAAACTGTTATGGAGTGAAAGTGATTGTGACAAACGTTCTTTCAAAGATGGTGGCAGAAACTCTATACCTTTGTGATTTGTACTCAGGAAACATTTATTAAATATCTGTGTACCCAGGATAGGTATTTTCTATCCCCAGACGTAGAGTCTCATAGGGAGATGGTCATGGGAATAACAAATATGGTAAGTTCAGTATAAATCATAGGGGCCTTGGAATATAAAAGAAGCAGCATCTAACATACTTGAAGTATCTGTGTTGTTTGAACTACACTATAACAAAGGGTAAACGTTTTTTAATTGGAGGAGGTGAGGGGAAAACCATTTACAATGAAGAGTAACATAAAAAGGCACAGAAGTATGAAGAACATGGCATGTGGGGGAAAGCAGTAATTCACTTAAAGTGTGGAGAGCAGTGAGGTATGAACTTGAGCTAGATCCTTGCTACTCAAAGTGTGGTCTGTGGAACTTGCTAGAAAGGGAATCTCGGGTCCCATCACAAACCACTGAATCAGAATCTTCATTTTAACAGGATCTATGGGTGAGTTGCATGAATATTAAATGTTGAGAGGCTTGGAACTCTGCAGGCTTTGCAAACCGCATTAGACTTTGTTTTGTGATGGAATGTCATTGAAGTGTAGTTAAAAGATACCCTGATAATCCTAGTTTGTATAGTGGTTTTCTGTTAATTATAATATGAATGGAATTTCATTTTAAGGAATGTCATTATAATATTTAGCTCAATATTTTCGGCCATTTCTATGTTCCCTGATATGAAGAGCCCTGGGAAGATAATATCCTATCTTCAAGCTACAGATAAGTTCAAACCCATTTTCACTTTTTAAAGATGTTTTTAAAGTTTCTCTAAAGTAATCTGTGTTCACTGTTTGGGGGAAAAAACTAGCACAGATGTTTTTGAAATTTAGACGTCTTTGCTCTTTTGCTTCTCTCCTCCCTCACCAATCCCAGTCCTAAAAGAAGAAACCGCTGATATTGAAAATAAGATATTTTCAATACATACACAAATATGCTTATTTCTGTGCATTGTTGATAAGCACACCTTTTTTAAACAAAATGATTATATCGTATACAAACTGTTAACCAGTATATTCCTTTTACATAGTGTATTGGATGTTTTTTCATTTCATTGTGCATCAGTTTTCACCATTACCTTTTTTATAACACTGCATGTTATTTCATAGTGTAGATATTTTATGATTTATTTATTTAATCCCTTATTGATGAACATTTGGATTATTTCCAGTTTTTCACTACATTGAGCAGTATGTAACAAATGTTTCCATATATAGTTTTGTGCTGTCCTATGGGACTCTCTGTGTCGCAAATTCACAGAATATGCACGGCATCGATTTGGTAGGCAGTGACAGTTTGCTGCCCCTGCATGGCACAGCTGCACTGGATGAGAGCATCCCTTCACTTCTGCCCTCACCGTCCTCAGCTATTGTGAGTCCTTGGCACTTTTTAAGATCTGATAAGTGAAGTGCTAGCTTGGCATGTTAAATTTTGTGTTATTTAAGAGTAAAACTGAGTATCTTTATCTTTTCAACCACTTTTTGACCTGTTCTATCACAGTAAATATTGTCAATTAAAAATAATGTGGATATCTTACAGTATGTCTCCAGCCCAAAAATGAGACTGTATAATTTAGCATATGCATAGAATATGGTTAGTATCAATAAACTGAATCTTACCATGAGCCATTGTTATTTTCATTTTAATCCTGTTCTGATCATTTCATGTTATTTCTTTGCCATTTAGAGGTTTCACAATCAGTAGTTTTCACATTGTAGAGCACGTAGGAACCACTAAATAACATCTCATTTAAAAAATTGACATTCCATTAAAATATTTTCTAGTACCCTTATACTTTGTATTATCTTTGCCTGGAGAGTTCTTTTCGCAGATTGTCATGTGGCTGTCTCTTGTCATTCAGGTCTTAAACTCCCATGTCATGTCCTCCAAGAAGCCTTTACCCCTATTCACTTTGCCTCTTATTTGTATGTTAGAATGTGAGCTCCATGAGATCATGTCTTTCACTGTGGAACTCCGGTACCTAGAGCAGTACTCAGTAATAGTGTGCACAGAAAAACTGTGAATTGAATAAAATGTTAATATCAAGCCTTTCTACAGTGTAGTTTTATGTCTGTTGTTGGAGATTTAAGCATTGGGAGTGGCAGTGAATTCTGTTTTTGTCTTTGCAATTGTATATTTTAACTAACAGATTCACATAGTAAATTTAATTATCTGGTGAAATTATCTTTTATAATGCAGTTCATAGTTTTTCTCTCTAAATAGCTATTAAATGTCCTCATTTTCTGGGAGAAAACAACAAAACTATAGCCTTTGCCTCATTTAAGTAAAAGGTTAAACTTTCCATTAAGGTCTGTTGATTCCCTTCTTACCCTGGATACCAGTCTTTTCTTAATTTTAGGCATACAGAGCCAGTAGTAATTATTTAGGTTCCTTGCAATTATTTTTCAGTTGTAATTTTGTCCTTTGTTTTTAGCCATATAGGCATTTCTCTAGGATCAGTGGAGGGCAGAACTATAATTTTATTTCTCTGGTTTATGAGAAACACTGTTCTAAAAGCTAAACTTATTATTGTGGGATTTTATATTAGAACAAATAAAGATCATAAGCTTATTCATTTCTTTCAACATTTATGACAGCCACCCTTTTTCCTTGTGTCCAAAACCAGTTATCGATTTGTTTTGATGTACATGTGGGAAAACTGGTTTGCTTAATGTAACTACAGATTTTAGAATGAATAGTAATTTTGTAACAATCATAACCCCCTTTCTCTCATGCTGTGAGAGAGTGTGGAACAGAGAATGATAATGTGTCTTTTAATTTATCATATTTTATTTTAATTGTGGCCATTTTTCCTTAAGGACATACTTTTTATATTTACAACCTAACAATATTTTCTAAATTTCTAATTTATTCAGGGTCTGATTACCTGGTTTAAATTTCACCATGTTTTTTTCCTGTCATTTCTCTTCTAGTAGGAAGTAGCCTTTGGAGATTTTGTTTTCATTAAAGTTTTTATTAAGAACAGTCACGCTTTTTACAAAAATACTGATTTATGAAGGAAAAAGTATCTCTGGGGATCCTCAGATCCCCAGAAGTAGATGCTATAAAGGAATTGATTATGCCTATTTCTATGAATATATAACTAGAAGGGACATGGTAATAATTTTTTTCTTTCTTAATAGACTGATACTGTACAAACTGTTATTTAACCTGCTTTTTCACTTAACATCTGGTGAATATTTTTTCTCATCGGTACGTGAAGATTAATCTTGTTTCTCTTAAATGTTTTGTGGTATTATATGACATGGGTGTACCCTAATTTATTTAACCAATTCCCTTTTGATGGGTATTTGGATTGTTTGTAATTTGTCTATCAAAAATACTGGTGCAGAGAATATCTTTGTGCATATATTTTGGGGGCACCTGTACTGTATTATCTGTAGGGTAAATTTCCTGAAATGGTATGTGTCCAAAAATATTGTACCTTTGTTAGACTTTTACCACTAATATATGTGAATTCTCTTTTTTATACCCCGTAAAAGACTCTGTGAGGGAAAAAGCTGAAAATGATTTGCAGAGTGGGAGAAGGTATTATTTGGATGTAGCTCTTTAAATTCATGTCCTGTTGGTTTCAAAAAATTAGATTCGTGGAAATTTAAAATGAACATATGCATTCTTTGGCATGAAGAGTATGGAGTTTTCTGAATTCTAGCAGATTAGACTTCTTGGCTTCCATTCTAAAACTGATGTGTTCATAGGGGAAGAAATTGCGTGCCAAGATGTAACAAAACCACGTTTAGGATGGTAAGGAACATACTTCTTTTATGTGATATTTTCTAAACATCTTTAGTCTGGTATAATTTTAGCTGGTGTGTTAATTAAAAAAGCAAATCATTCATACTTTATCTCACCCCACGCTGTATACTAACCATGGAAGTCGTGTCAGCAAGGGGAAAGGTTTTCGAATGTATAGTCAGTGCTGTTTCAGTTACTTTGATAGCAGTATTATGGCTCCAGACCTGGAAATTAAACAATGAAAATCAACATCAATAAGAAAAAACACCTAAGTACCCACGAGCAGATCTTGTTTGGTAACTCTTCTTTTCTTTCTGCCTCCTTTAACATCTCTTGCAGTGGAGGCTTATGGGTGATGAATTCTTTCAGCTTTTTCGTGTCTTTATTTCATCTTTTTTTAAAATGACTTTATTGGGTGGTGGGCACACAATGCAACATACAAATGATGTGTCATCGAATTGTCCACTTGAAGCTGATATAATTAACCAATGTCACCCCAGTAAATTTAATTAAAAAATTAAAAAATAAAATGGCTTTATTGGGGTATAATTGACATCCAACAAACTATACATTTAAAAGCGTACAAATTGATGAGTTTTGACACCTGGGACATCTTCATCACAAGCAAGATATGGAGCATATCCAGTACCGCAAACATTTCCTTGTGGTTTGCAATTCCTCAGTCCTACCCCTACATCCCACGCAACTACTGATCTGCTTTCTCTTGCTATAGATCAGTTTGCATTTTCTAGAGTTAAAGGAATGAAGTCATATAGCATCTACTCTCTCTCTTTT